TTGGCCTCCGAGTCGTAAGAGCAAAGGTGAGGAGCCCGGTGGGTAAGGGCTCGGGCGGCCACGTCAGCGGCCTCATTACCTCGTAAGCCCTGATGGCCAGGAGCCCATACGATGCGTTTCGGGGCTGGATCAGCGAGAGCCTGTTTTAGAATTCGGCTGGCTAGGGGGGATATCTCTCCTACCAAGTAATGAGCACATGCTTTCCGGGAGTCCGTGATGATAACTTTCGAGTTGGGGTCCGCAGCAGCAAGCGCTATCGCGACTTCCTCAGCGGGCTCTGGATTTTGTGCTCAGAACGAGAGCCCATTGACATGCTTTTCCCGGTGAACTACACAGGCCGTGTAAAATCCCGTGGGCGAAGGCCCTGCTATATCTATATAGAATACACCAGGTCAGGAGCCGCGTTGCCTCTCAAGAGTCCGAGCCCGCGCCTGTCTTCTGCTTTTGTGCGTGTGCTTATCCATGTTACTGGGGAGTGGAGAGACCGAGAGCATATGTTGCCACAGTTCCGGAATACGCTCCGCCTCCTCTGCAGTGCAAGTGTGCTGTATATGTAAGCGGTTCAGCAGGCGCGCCCGGGAGCCGTCTGCACGAGCCACGTATATTGATTCATAAGGTGGGCCTCCCGCAACTCCTGGCAGGAGTTGAGCACATCCTAACGCCCTCAGTTTGGCATTGGAAGTGGCCACATGGAGATCCAGAGCTCGTTTAGTAGCCTTACGAATGATGGCATCTATTCTTTCGTCTTCTTGCTTGTTAGTGCGAAGGTATGGGACAGCGTAGAGGATCTGGCTAGTCACGAAGGCATGGGCGAGCAGAAGCGCGTCCCTGCCCCGCAGACCACCCCGCTTGTTAAAAACGCGGTGGATCATGCGCTCTACCTGTTCGCCTATTCTCTTGAGTTTCGCTATAGTGGAGTCCGGTCTGAGTCTGTGGTGAATGAACAGGCCCAGAATCCGGAGCTCCTCCACCTCTCTGATGGGAACCCCAGACAGGGAGATGTGTATGGCTGACTTATCTCTTGGCTTCGCTCTAACGTGCAAAAGCTCTAATTTGTTTGGAGCACATTGGAGTCCACAATCGTTGGCATACGCCTCGACTATGGATGCAGCCTGCTGAAGGCGTTCCTGCATTTCATCAAGGCTCCTTTCAGTGGTGCAGATTGTAATATCATCGGCATATACTGCGTGTTGTGTGCCTTCCACCCTGGCCAATTCGCTTGGAAGGCGCATCATAGCAATGTTGAAAAGGAGCGGTGATAACACTGCTCCCTGTGGGGTACCCCATGTTCCCATAATGTACGGGCCATATTCCTCGTCCTCGATCCGAAAAAGTGCCTGGCGTTTAGATAGAAAATCTCTGACATATGCAAAGGCCTTAGCCCCGCAATCGGTGGAACTCAAGTTAGCCAGGATGCTGCTGTGTTTAACATTGTCAAAAGCCCCCTTCAGATCAAGGGCGAGGATGGCTTTATCATTGTGTTGCATAGTTATGGGCTGTATGACGGCCCTATGGAACTGGAGAAGGACATCCTGTGCAGACATGTGTGGGCGAAACCCAAACATGGAGTCTGCAAAGAAGCCCTTGCCCTCAAGGTATGGGGAGAGGCGATCCCGTACCATCAATCAATCAATCAATCAATCAATGAAACTTTATTTTCATGAATAGATATATGCAATTACAGGGATTATTTGGACCGATAGCCTAAAGTGGCTAGTGGACGGTCCAATACAATGTGCAACATAAAAAAGTGTACAGGTCAGCTCTGAGGTAACAACATCAAAAAAAAAAAAAACAATCATATAATACAGATAACACAGTAATACATTTTTTCCTGCAGATATGCATACTTATTAGCTTGCAGCTAGTTTCTATAGATAGGCACTTATTAAGGAGACCATCGTCTCCATAAGCTTGCCCGCGCACGAAGTCAGTGATATGGGCCTCAGATTTTTCGTATTCACGACCTTGCCTGCTTTGGGGTGCAGTTGACTCTCTCAACAGACTTTGACATGTTCGATACTTCTCTTCAATGGACTAGCGGTGTGAGTATTGGCAAATCGAGGTAGACCCGAGAGACCACGAGAATATAAAATGACACAAGAGTATATCGAAGCCATTCAGAATGCATGCTAGGGCAGCTTTGTGAGTCAGATTACGATAGTGCAGAAGAATTAGATTTTCTAAAGTATAAAATTGTGTATTGTTCCTTTCTGTTGAACACAAGAAAAATTACTATATGACTGTGCAGGTGGCTTGATACTGATGGATGATCATTTTTTGCAATCATGTTAGGTTATTGCTGCGACATTTACATGTTGCTCACCACTATTTTTCAATAACTTCATTTTCTGTGGAAAATGAACTATGCTGTTACATGTAAGCACTGTGCTGTGTGCAAACCTTTCTTCAGCATGTCCTGTCCAATTGCTGTGCTATGCAATTTCAACTACATGCCTAGCCTTCACGCTCAGCAAACTTCACACCAATTATACCCATTTCCCACAAAGGCACAAGAAATGACATTTAGTAGTTAAGGTTGGTGACACTTTCTCGGCCGAGCTGCCATACATATAAAATTAATGGCATTTGACCTGGTAATGTCAATAACAGCGACTTTTAAAACAAGCAATTTTAGAAAAATAATCTAATGTGAGCACTCATTTTAATAACTCTGGATTCACAGTTAGTAAAATTACTAGGTATATCATGGTGCCATTAGCATAAGTACGTTCCACTCTTTTAGAACATTGCAACTGACCCCAGCAACTTCCACTATTGCAAGTTGAATTTGAAGCCGCTGCAATTCTGGAGTAAATATCTCTGCAGTGCAATAGGAAAACAACAAACCACATACATGTTAAAAGTCTAGTATAAATATTTTTGCCACAACATATGATATTTCAAATGTTTTATGTGTACTGCACTGAGTATACTTTGGCACCAAGACTACACATTTCCCAGTCAAACGCAAAGGCATTAGGTAACGAATGGCATTAAGGTGAATACCATACGGATTTCCCTGTGACACTCAGCAAATGGCAATATATCTCAAAAAGTTAATGGCGTGTTTTGTGCCTGTGTGGAACGGGTAATAACCTGTGTTGGTGACAATATTCACACTGAAAAATGCACTGTCCTGGGTAGTCACCTTTGGCCGCTGTAGTGACTTAGTTATTCTGAGGTTGATAATATTATGCGGGGTTTCACATCCCAAAAGCATGACATGATTATGAGAGATGCCAGAGTGGAGGGCTCCAGAAATTTCGACTATCAGATATTCTTGAACATGCACCAACATCGCACAGTAGACGAGCTTCTACCAATTCGCCTGCAATAAAATGCCACTGACCAGGATTGATTTTGAGATAGCAGTGCTAAGTGCATGGTTCTGTCTGTAAAGAAAGGTGACCCAAGTTTTGTGGAGCACTCAGTCCCATAGAACAGTTTTCCCATTGAACAAAACTAAGCAAGAAACTGTGACCCTTAGCAAGAATTCCCCAGCAGATAACTAAACTCGACAAAATACATTTGAGACCAGCCTTCTAAAATTTGTTTTCGCCAATTCAACTGGGGATGCAGTCCACTTCTACACATCCATTCCCCTTGAAATTTCACTTGGCTGTGCACTGTTAACATTTTATATCTAATTGGCATTGCCCACTATATTTATATAGTGCGGACTAAGGATTTGTTTTTCCTACCTCACTACAAAGAATATAACAAGGCTGCATTTTTCATGGAGACGAAAATGCTGTAGGCCTGTATGATTAGGTCCGGGTGCTTGTTAAAGAACCCCAGGTAGTCCAAATTTCCAGAGCCCTCCACTACAGCAGCCTCTCATAATCATATAGTGATTTTAGGACATTAAATGTCTCATATCAATCAATCATCAGGAAGTATAATAATAAAGGGGCGTTGTTAACTGAAATGCACTTTGTCTTTCACTAATTAGCTCGTTTGTGCACAGCTAACCTAATTATAATGCATTCACATATAGTAGATATTTAAAAGGTTTATTGTGTAGAAGGGTGAAACTACAAGTGAAAATTATTGATGGGTCTTTTTCTGTACATCCAAAGAATGTTAGAAATACACTAATGAGGATTTCCACTTTTTCATGAGCTGCTGCATGTGTTGGGGAAGAAATAAAATTAGCCATTATTTGCGGGGCCCCAGTTGCTTTACAAAAAGCATTGTACGTAGAGCACTTTTTTTTTTTTTCAACGACTATACATGCTCCTACCCTGTGAGCAAATAGCAAGCCTTACTAGAGCTATCACATCGACTTGGGAGAGATAAATGGCGTGTCACTTGCGGGCTCAACGCACTCTAAGTGGCTCAGTCATACCGCTTTCCAGTTCCAAGGCTCACTACATTGCCGTCAATATCGCTAGATCACCCGTACGGTACGCACCAGAGTGCTTGCATGGGTTCGTCCGGTCGTGTTCCAACTCAACGATACCATTTCGAGCAGCTTTCGAGGTGAACCCCTACATCCTTTGAAAACAAGCCACCCAGGAACAGATCCGTCATCTGCTGAACAGCGGTGTTCAGCCACGCTGTGTGGCAGGAACACCGGAAACCCACGCCTACGTTCCCACGCCCAAATGACAAGCCCGCCGGTTCCGAGCAGACGATGTTCTGAAAGCAGGGGCCGCACGTACTCGTTAGCCAAATCTTAAGGCAATGATGAAAAAAAAAAAAATAATGGGGAGAGCTGTCAAATGTCACGGAGCTGCCCGAACATCCCGGCGGCACACTACATCCTGCGATCAAGCAGGCCACGACCTTTCCTGAGGGAAGTGGCCCTGATAACTGGCGTCGACGATTGCAGTTAATAGCTCAATCAGCAGTAGTACTGCACGTCTAGGCCTAAGCGCAGCCCGTACTGACACATCGGGCGGTCGACATGGAGCTGCCGTCCGAGCTGCACGTCACTGACAGCCGCGAAACGACACAGTGGTGCGACGAGATCGAACGCTGCAACGGCGGCTCACCTTGACTACGAAGTGCCGAGCGTCTCCGCTGTAGCCGAATTACAGGTGCAACACCGGCTCACCACAGGCACACGAACACACGCATGACAAGTGCCCGAGAGATACTGACACGACAGGCACCCGATTGGCTTATCTTGTCCTACGTACTCAAAAGCGCGCCGTCGCATTGGCTGGAGGGCACTGCAAGCACCACTCCCATTCGTCAACACCTGCCACGTTGCGACGCAAACTTTGGGGTTTTGGTAGGGCCTAGTTTCGGTATTGGTGAGGTTGCCGCGCTCACACGCTGCACTGTTTACACTCTCTCATCTCTTCCAAAGTGCTTACTTGCTTTTTTACTAGAACCTAGAAGGTGTGCGCTGAGAAGCATGCGCGCCGCCAAGCCAGTGGCATGCACGACCGGGCTAGACTAACGGTACGTTGGGGCTAGAATGTACCTGCGCGCTCGCGTCTTACGGCTTTCGCATCGGATCTAGTATATGCCTCTCGCCGCTGCTTTGATGAGGGCGCTGCGACCCTGACCTTCGGATGGATGGATGCACTGGTGTCACATAGGATTTATGATAGGCTGAAGAGAGTGCACATAGATGAATGTGGCTCCAGAAGCCTGGGTAGTGATGACAAATGTACCAAGCTAAGTTTTGGAAGATCAGTGAAAGTGGGAAAGAGGCAAGATTAGCAACTACAGGAAAACTTTTATTCAGAAAGGCAAATAGAAATAGCTACTAAATAAATTGAGAAAGTAATCACTGAGGATAATAAAACAGCGTGGACACACACGAATCTAATTAGAATGTTTGAGCGAGAGCTTACTAAGGCACGTGACAAGTCACCTCAGAAAAGAAGACACAAACCAGAGAGTTGGTGGGATAAGGAAGTTAAGAGAGCCATAGCAAGACGTCAGGAAGCCTCTAGGGAACACAGACATGCTAAGCAGCGGGATGAACCGACAAAAGATGTTGAAAGAAAATGGGATCGAAAAAGCAGAAAAGGAACACAGGCCCCTGGGGCTAGCATTTTTTATATCAAGGGAGCGTACGATAACGCACGTGGTTCAAGAGGACTTGTGGGGAATACTGGACACACTAGGTGTGGAAGATGGAGTCACTAATCTCCTAAAGGATATTTGTAAAAGTAGAGCAAGGTAGTTATAAAATGAGAAAAACAGGGATTCAAGCCTACAGCGGTAAAACAGGGGCTTAAGCAGGGGTGTCCTCTGTCACCCTTGTTATTCATGACGTACTGACGTACCTATAAGGATTAGAGGCCGAGTACCTAAGGGAACACGGAATATACGTAATGACTAAAGGTAACAGGAATGCAGTAGTGATGAACAATAGGGCACTATGGAATTACAATAGGTGTGATGTTGTGAGAGGAATATTGAAAGGGGTCATGGTTGCTGGTCTGACGTTCCGAAAGGCGGTCTTGTGCATGAGATCAGAAGTTCAAGAATAATCACAAATTAAGCAACGTGGAGAAGGTAGACTTGCCTTAGGAGCTCACGGAAATACATCAAATCAGGGAGTACAAGATGATATGGCATGGACATCATTTGAGGGCAGAAAGCTGGCAGCAAGATAAAATTTCTGAAGCGATTGAGAGAAAGGGGGGAGGAGCGTTGGGCTAGAAAGGCTTTCAGCTACTTGTACATGAAAAATGTCGATACAGAATGGAGAAAGCGAACCAGAAAATCGACGGGTAAATACCTAGAAAACAGCAAGGGGGCCAAACCAAAAAGAAGTATCGGTTAAGGAGAATGTGAACAAAACGGAGACTGACATGAGGAGAATTGGCATGATTAAGAAGTCCGCACTAAAGGTCTATCGAACATTTAAGCAAGAAATTGCCAAGGAAAGGGTCTATAATAATACTCTGGGTAGTTCTCGACTGTTTGAGGCAGAGCGGGAGTACTTGTGAACCAAGACATATCGGGCCAAATTCGAAAGGGTAGACATGGTATGCAGTGCATGTGGAGAGGAGGAGGATACTGCCGAACACATGATAATGTTCTGTAAAGGGCTTCACCCTATAGTTCAGGATGATGGCGCAGAGCTTTTCAAAACACTGGGGTTTAGGGACAGGGAGGGCAAAATAGACTAAGCAGGTAGAATTAACTAGAAGGAAGTTATCTGATTGGTGGCTGAAGTCAAGGCACGAGTGAAAATTAAACCCTTCGCTCTAAAGTACCAGTCCTCAACTTCACTATTTAAAGGAAAAAGATAAATCTAGTTGTTGGTTCACTAAGTAATAAGTCTAGGTGGCGTCAGCTGCCGCCTGATCTAAAGGGTACAGCCACATCAATCCATCCATCCATCAGAGAGGTTACTAGCGAAATTGAAAAATTGAGCCCGTGTGTGTGCGCTGTAGGCGGTAGCTTCTAACCATTGTTGAGGTAGAAGAGTTAGTGGAGGCGGCTGGATAGCGGGATTAGGGTTGAACTTAGGGTTGTTGGGAACTCGGTCTGATGGTCGAGAGGGCGATGGCATTAGGAAAACCGCGGGCGAGAGCGAGCTGGTGCAGTCCGAAGAATGGATGCGCTGGTGCTACTTAGACGATACAGAATTCTCGAGTTTCGCCGACGCGCAGAAGGCGAGCTTCCTGTGGAGGCTGTGCGAATCACTGAAGGCGGCCGTGCAGTGCATGAGGCTAGCATCGAGGGGCTTCAGGGGAAGCCTTGGGTGGAACGGGAGCCGAGAATAGAACTACAAAAACAGCTCAGAGCGTCGCGTGAGCGGGAGGAGGCTACCGCCAGCCTATTAGAACAAGTGAAGGGCGACCTTCGAAAAGAACGGGAAGGTCGGACTGAGCTCGAGCAGCGGGTAAAGGAGCTGATGGCACTTTGCCCCGGCTCCGAGCGGTGTGATACGGAAGGCATGGCTGGCGGAGAAGGCGACAGGCGGGAACGAACAGGCGAAAAGAGAGGTCAGGGGGCCGCAGTGTCTGGCCACAGCAAGGAGGCTCCGAGGACATACAGCTTGGTGGCGCGGCAGTCTTCGAGCAGGGCCGGAACACAGGACAGACGGCAGTAAAAGAAACAGGTGAAGCAAACAGGGGCGCCATCACAAACAAGAAGCCAGCGATTGGAGCACAGAAGGGTCCTAGTGGTGGGGGCCTCTAACGTGGCCAGGGTTAGCGATGACGTCTTCACGACAGTGAAGGAAGATGGGAGAGTGAGGGTGGAGGCCCAGTCAGGAAAAAGCATGGTGGATGCACTAGCCAAAGCTCAGGAGGTTGTAGAGGGCAGCATGGAGGGTGAAAACATCATCATTATTCGTGCTGGGCTCAATGATGTGTTGAAGGGTGTGACGTCCCCGCAAACAAGGACTGAACTCCAGCCCTTTCAAGATGTTTACGTTTATTTCTTAAACCCACGCATTGGAAAAAAAGGAAAAGAAAACTTTCGGGGTAACGAATGCGCATTCCGGAGTGGAGTTCCTGGAAGGATTTTGTCGACAGGTTCTCGCCTCCCCCCCCCCCCCCGCGCAAACACCATGACTGGGTGGTGCCTTGTTGTCTACGGACAGTGTGACAGTGTACGGTGGCAATACTCTGCGCGCACCCTTCAGATTTGTGGCATGGGGGAGCAGCAGAGCACCTTTTGTTGGTTCGGTGAATGCGACCCTGATGCAGCGCCTGAGCCAGGCCCGGGCTGACTTTCTGTCAGCCTCAGTGGCTCCAGGGCTCATTACTGCTTTCTGCGTGGGTGGCCACCCGCGGCGTTGAATGTCGAAGAAGCGGCGGCTGCGGAGAATTTCGCGGGAGACACCGAGTTGCAAGGAGGCGTTGAGACTCGATCTGGACATCGGGTTCCGGAAACCGGCAATTGGTTCAGCCGAAAACATTTCGGCACAACCCTGCAAACTCCAGACGTTGGCCATTACCGACGACGCGCTTTGTCGCAGCATTGGGACCATTTTTTCACGCGTAATTCACGTGTCTTCGGACAGCTCGTCCATCTATCTCTCTGAGGCTTGAGTTCGTACATTGTTACTTGCTCGGCTTTGCTTGGGAGAGGGTTTTCCACTGATGTGGGCCGCGGGGGCGGTCGTCGAAGATGACACACACCGACTGACAGTGGCAATTTCTTAGGTGCAACGGAGGGGCGGAGTCGTGTCCTACGAAAAAGTAATACGAGACGATGCAAGGAGAATCAGAGAGACGGAGCGTTGAGATCGAGATGATAGAGAGACGGAATGGAAAAGGAAGATAACGGTGCGAAAAAATAGCGATGAAAGTCGATGAGATTATGACTGGGGCAGGGAGGGTACGATAAGGAATGAAAGTTACGGATAGGAGACGTGTAGGCGAGTGAACGGAACGTTACGAAAGAGGGCTAAGATGGAAATCACTGAGAGGCACGACGATGACGAAGACGATGAAGACCCTGACGAATTGGACAGGGACCCCAGGAAGAAGCCCTGAGCCCCGACTCGAACAGCCAGCTCCTAGGCCCCCGACAACATGGACCTTTCGTGAGACGGACTATATGCGCCTTATTTAGATTAGCTTTGCCGGAAGGGAGGTGGCGTGTTGAGGCATTGTGGGATTTGGTAACTGATAACTTCATCGTGTGTGTGTCGTCATGCGTTTACATTGTAGCATTGCACCATTGTATTGTCAAAGTTATTTCTCTTGAATATCCTGCGTCGCACGTCGCGAGTGTCTAAACCATGTGTTATAGTTTGGTGTAGTGGTTGTTGTAAGCGGGCAGCATGCTCGTACGCCGTTTGCAATTGGTAATAAATGAAAATGCATCAGTAAACAGGAACAGATTGTAGCGTCCCTTACTTCCCTGCCCCAGCACGAATCCCTGTATGGGGGAAGTGAATGAGACACATAGCCAAGAGGGAACCATATAGACAAGGGGTTGAGTGGTCTTCCCTCTCTTTGGTAATCGGTGGCGTAGCGGGGAGGTCTCAAGGGCAAGAATCAGGACCTTCAGAGACAGAGGATGGGATGCGTAAGCTTCGAGAAGCCTCTGGAAGTGTGCATGTGACCATATGCACACTCCCAGAGGTCTTGGGGCCATCTCGAGGGATTGAAAGAAGGGTCATCATCATCAGCGTGACTATGTCCACTGCATTACAAAGGCCTCCCCCATGTTCCGCCAGTTAAC